AGGAGGAGAAAGAGGAAGACGAAGAGGAGGAGGGAGAGCAGGGGGAGGGATGTGAGCCGGTGTACGTGTAGAGCTGCAGGCTTCCTGAACGGCGTGTGTCTGTTACTGCCGACTAATGCTCATCATTCAGCTCACAACCCTCCCACTTCTTCTGTGTGTGCGTGTGTGTGTGTGTGTGTGTGTGTGTGTGTGTAGAGGTGTGCATGCTACACAGGTGTGTCTGTGTGTATTTATGCATATCTGGCATGTGAGACTGTTACGTTGCAGGAGCGGGACTAACCAACATCGCCACCTTGTGGAATCTATAGTGCGTCCACAGTGACTTCAAATCCAAAACTCCCCTGATCCGGGACCAAGAAACAACATTCTGTATGTGACTGACTGCATCACGGGTGAAGTTAGAAGAACGAGACTCAGAAACTGTACAGGTTGAAAGGAGTTGGTTAATATTCTTGGGGATGTAAGCATGTCTGGATCACAGACAAGGTTTCTAATTCGAGGACTGCTTCTGGTTCTCCCAGCGGTTTCTTGTCCCATTCCTTCCACCCTTGGTCTTACGGGCGACTGAAACGCCTCCGCGGTGATCGTCTGACACAGGAGCTACTCCCTGTTCAACCTGAGCTGCTTTACACTCAAATATTGGACACGGCAATGTGAAGAGTGGAACCAGTTTACTCTAATCGCGGGAGTGGGGGAGGGGGGGACTGAATAAGCAACACGCCTTTTCACAGCTGCTGCAAAATAAGCTACAAAGACACAATGCATGCACATGCACACACCAGCACACTTTTTCAGTGCAGGTCGAGCTCAGTCATAAAGGGTGAAACAGGCGTCGGTGTCTGCAGGTAAGTGTCTATATTGACGTTTCAAGAAGGAGGCTCAGACTAGATGGACAAATAAATTCTCCCAGACTCCAGAAAATGCGTCCTTTTTTGCAGCATTCAGTTTAAATTTCTACATTTGTAGCAGATCACATTTCAGAAAAGTAGAATCAGATTAACCAAACACAATATTTTTGGTTGCTCCACCTATCTTCTATATCCACAGCTGCCTCATTTGGTTGTTTATTATAATGTGTTTGGTCCTTCAGATGGAGCCTCAGAGGTTGCTGTTACAAATATCCTCGTGTTCATAACATTGTTTTTGTTACTGATTCTCTACTCGAACTGACCATTTCAAAGCTCACCTCCAAAAACCTCAACCTCAAACTCCAGTTCTGTTGTAGCCAGATCCAAGACTGAACCACTTATTAAAACCAGAAATGTCACTAAGCCTGACATGCAGTGAATTTCTGCTCATAAATGACAGGAAGAATTGGATCAGATGAGACATGTTCCTGCCTTGGAATGATACTTCTTGTTTACTGATGGGCAGGTTGCTCACGCAACAGAATGAATCCCAACCGGATTCAAGTAAGAGTAATCACAGCCAGACAGGCCTGAACACGTCGGGTTTCTGATTGAGAATCAAAACTCTAACACAGACAGACACACATATACATACACATTCACCAAGATGCACATTTTTTACAGCTATTTTGCAAAGATCAGTCCCACAGTTGAGTTGTAACTTAACCAGCCTCTTCTGTCTTCAGGAGGCAGTCATGAAAACACAAAGCAACATGTTCTTACAACAGCAAACGTGATAGTATGACTATGTGCAATACAAAAAATACATTATATATAGTTTTCTAAACACTTAATATCCTTTTGAACGTTTAGTACTGAAATGTACAAATATATTGGTTTATATATATTTTCTCTTTTCAGTTAAAACATGCTGCTTAATATTGTGGTTAATATTATTTACATTATTATTATAATTGTTATTACCTGTTTTCTTTTGTTGTGGCTTAAAGGAGTGTTGGCTTCATCGCCAAGTGTGCTTGGGTTTTTGCAAGTAATGAGCTGTGTGCCTTTCTATTTGAATGTCGGGGTGCGTGTCGAAGGAGACGGCCGTGATGACGATCAGTGTTTGCAGAACATTGACGGTAGACCCTTCGCCTTCTGCTGCCAGGCTGGTCCTGAACGCAGGAGAGAAGGGTGTAAAAGGATTCTGGTTCAGGAAGAGATAGAACAGAGTTAGAAATAGTTAGAGGAAGAGGAGGAGTGAAGCAGGTTGGATTCAGGAAATGTCATTTGAAAAAAAAAGAGTGAATAGCTTTCTCTATTTTACAAAACTGCAAATGGTTAAACTTTCAACAAAGAGTTAGTGTTTGGTACATTTTCTTTATTTATCTGAAATGACCACAAGTTTGAGTGTTGATTAATTCTGTACTGTTACTACAGACCTGTGCCATGTTCTGTATTGGAGCTCTGCTATCATCCAGTGCCTTCTTGCCTATTGACAATCAGTAAACAGTAACTGCTCTCTCTGTGTCAAACCAAACTGTTTAGTCAATTAATACTAAACTGTTCTAGCAGTATTCTGAATTTGACCTAATGACTGGGAATGCTGAAGAAGTCACAACTTTTAAGTGATCCTCTAATGCATAACTGGCAGAATGATAGAAAACGTGTGGATCAGATCTGTTACAGAAGATTTTGTTGTTGTTTTTTTTATTTTGCTTGACAATGTAAAGTTTGTTTTTCTGTAAATGTGCCTTGTGTTCAAAAGTGAGCAGCACAATCTTAAAAGATTGCCCTCTTATTATCATCTCTTTTTTTCATGGACCTCTTCTCTACATGTTTATCATTATTCTTGATCTGGGGATGTTGACTGAGCACGCTCTGTTTCACATTAACACTGGCTTTGTTTACTTGCACCAACAATCCTCCTCTTATTCTAGTCAGTAACTTACAGTAAATAGAATTAGATGAGGCAGAACTCAACTTTTGCCACCAAGGACTGATGACATGTAAGATCTGTGTGTCTCTTTCCCTTAAAGTCACATGGAAATACATGGGAATAGATGGCATTTTCCTATAACTCAGTGTATTTCTGGTTGCAGCAGATTGTTTTAGCAAAAAAAAAAAACAATTGTAAAGCATCTGTTTTTTTTTTTTTTAGATCGAGGTGGATTGTTCAAATTTTAAATTTCATATCACAGACTTGACATTTGTTGCATGGATACACAGAAAACCTAATGTACTCACAATGTGAAAGAATCTTTGCTGTTTGTCATGAATAAATGTAATAGTGGCTTAAACTAAACTAAAGCCAGTGTCCCGCATGTAAACATAAGCCAGTGTTGCCTGTGAGCTGCTCGGATAAACCACATTCTGTACAGAGCAGCGCCCCTGGATCAATTATGGGTGAAGTGTCTTGCCAAGGTTCTCCATCACTGAGATTAAAGCACACAGGGTGCTGTTCTTTCACTCTTCCCCATCAAGTTTTTCTTCGAGCTGGTCCAATATGTGAGCAGACATCCTTCCATTTCTCTAAACCTCTCGCTGACTGCGTTGCCAATCCACATCGACCAGGACGGACCGCTTCGTGAAAAATAGCTTTATAATGAGAGCCGCAGCTCTCTGCAGAGTGTGTGAGTTTCACAAAGTTTGTGAGGTGTTTCCTGGATGTGTTTTGTTTTTTTGTTTTCTAAGGTTAGAGAGTGATGACTGACAATCTTTGACTGACTCGATATCCTCCGATCTGATTTCTTCACGAGACTTACTTGTGTATCCTTCTCATTTTGTATTTTTACTCTAAGGGGCCTCTTCTTGTCTTCGAAGCTCCTTAATGTATGATGCAATTCTGTTACTCTTGAATTTATATTTATACAGATATACATATTTTTTGTATCTTTTTCCCCTTTTTTTTCAATTTCCCTTGTGCTAATGTTCAAAAATCCATGTCTACGCAGTATTATAAATGGTGTAATGTGGACAGATATCTCTTTTTTTACATTTATGTATGAACTGAGAATTGTAAAAATGCTTTCACAGTCCTTGTGTGTAAAATGTATGTATAAATTAAATTAACCAACTTGGAGACTCGTGCTTCATTTTAGTGCATTAGTGTATGAATGGAAGGTGATATATTACCTGTTATTTGTAGCCCTGTCATAGCTTGAGAGTTAGATATTGATTTGTTTAAGTCTAATAACATTGGGCTCATAAGCAGAAATCTGTTGTATACCACATAAATTGAATGTAATGTACCATATATTTTATTTTGCACAATATATCTGCCTTTAATAAATAAACAGAATTGATAGAGGTCAGGGATTGATAATCAGGGTAGAGACTAAACTATTCAAACATATAAAATCTGCAACATCTTGTTCTGACATAACATAAACTCCAATAAATTATTGTTTATAAAATAAAACCTTAAATGGACAAAAAAAGACTTAAAGCTTCACAGTTTGACACAAAGTGGGGCAATGGATCATTGTAAATATAAAAGGTATTCTTTTTTGACATTTGAACTGTACTGACTTTTATTTGACTTTGTCTGAGAGCTCCATTCAGTGGTTGACATTTTCCATAAGTAAAAGTTAAAACACAACTGTAAACCAGTATATTCTTGCATTGAAATCTTATTTCACCAGCAAAATATACTATAAGAAGCCCAGAAGTACCAGCTTTTCTAAATGGACCCTTTCTGCAAGTTTTGCTAATGTCTTAACATAGAAGCAACATTTGACCATACAGTTGGGTGGGTTATAACGGTGCTATTGTGTCTTTGTATTCAGTAATATAAAAAGGAAATATCAAGTACAAAAACTTATTACTACTTTATTACTTAAACTATAGGTAGGTACAGGTAAAGTACTTGGAGCAAATGGATAGTTACTTTACACTGTAATTTTTGTACTTATCTAACATAACCACATTTGATAATAAAATGTCTGCTCAAAGCAGATAAGAAGTGTGCACAATAACTTCCAATGAAACACTCTTGTTTCTATTCTGTCTTGTCACATTTCCACATGTTGCTTAGCGAGAAGGACTGATAAAAACCACGACTTGAGTGTTGACAGTAGAGTAAATATGTATTGTTGTGTGGCTTGGTTTGCATGACCCGCTGCCTCCACGCTGAGGTTGTCGGGTTGAACCCTGCCGGGTACCAGCGCTGTAATCCCACAATGCAGAGCGCATGGCGCGTCATTGGAGAGGGACGATGATGGCGGCGGTCGGTGCACCAGAAGTGATCACACAGCTGGAAAGCGCTGCCAAAGTTTTAATGGTGAGAAATACAGCGTTGTTTTGTAGCCATGAAGGAGACGACACATGTATCTCAACTTTGTCTGGGCTGGTGTTTGGCGGTTGGGGACGGCCGCGGTTGTTTGTTTCTTCCCGGTTTTTGTTGTTAAATGTGTTCAGGTTTTTTTTTTTTTTTACCGGAGAAACGGTATGTGAGCGGTGCGTGGCGCCTTGCCTTGCCTGTCTCCATCCCGCAAAAAAGCCCGCTCACCGTCGTAACACTCCCCACCGTTCTCCACCTTTCTCCTCCTTCTCATAAGCCACCGCCACCCTAACATAGTACCCCACGTTGAGACACTTTCCAATGTGGCTCCGTTGTCCAGAAACTTGAGCGGTTCGTGTCGCTGTGCTTTCAGCCATTAACGTTACATTAAGTTTTATTACTCTGGACACAGTTGGAGCATCTCGGTGCTGTCGGGTCGCTCGGTGTGTCGCTTTAGCTTATCCTGCACCTCCTAAAATCCTCCTTTACATCCAGTGTTTGCCTCCTACCCCCCCTCTCAACCCCCTCCACTCTCCTTTGGGATAAATAGGACTGAGTACACCCGCTAAGAGCGAGAGGCTAACCATGTGCATGTCATGAGTCTGTGTATTGGATACAGGAGCTAGCTGCAGCCTGCTCTTGCTTTCTGCCATTTTGCTTTCTCTGGTTATGTATTTTTAAACTGAACGTAATGGACATGTTTACCCTGTTTTAAAGTCTTGTATTGTATAATGGACTCCACACACAAGAGCTTTCCCCTCACGTTCAGTCAGCAGGTGTCCTCTGAATGCATGGGGAACAATGTGTTGCTTTAGGTGCTGTGGAACATGATTTATACATTAACATGAACATTTTAGGCTCTGTTTAAGGTGGGACAATAAGTTGCCTAAAATAGTATAATTCAGTAATGGTTGGATAGAACCAGTGAATGTAATTTTTACTGAGTCAGATAAACACAACAGTGTGGTTGTCAGTGTCGCCTTATATCTGTTCCAGGTTGGTGTTGTTTTACATAATAAAGCACTGCTTTCGATTCCTTTCATCTACTATGGCAGAAGCCACTTTAAACAACTCGTGCTAAACTCTTGTTTCATTATGAATCTAATCTCATGCTGTATTCATTCACACCCTGTACGCACGCTTTTTCTTTCATAGATTATTGTAAAGACTTTGTAGCCTTTTATTGGACAGTTGATGGTATAGAATGAGAGGAGGATGACTTGGATAAAAGAGTCCCGGCTGGGATCGAACCGCAGATGGTGCGGGGACAGTTCTGTTCATGACATCCACAAGGATGCCTCAAAAAGTGGATTTCCCCCCCCCCAATACATGTTGTCTGGTACAGGACCTTCATCTATGGCTCTAAATCATTGTAACCTATCAAATCAAATAGTGAATTTTGTGAATTGGCACGTGCCTAAAAGTAATACTTCTGAGTTATTACTATGTCAGAATTGAACGGTTTATTCAAAAGTGGTGCAGTGAAGTGCTGCTTAAATGTATTGCTTTATATTGAGGGGTGTTTGTAATATTTAGTCTACCCTCATTGAGAGAGAGAGAGAGAGAGAGAGAGAGAGAGAGAGATCATTTTATTGCAGTTGTATTAGACTAGTGGTTCTCAAACTGATGGTCAGGATCCCCAAAGCACTCCAAAAGGTTGAGAACCACTGTATTAGACTTAGCAAGGATGCTGAGTGTGCATGGTGAATAGGTGAAAAGTGTGGTTGTCAGTCTGAGAACATTATTATAACACTGGACTGAAGGAAACATTTTGACGCTACAGGGCTCTCATCATGGTCAAAATGACAGAACGTATAAAGAGTTATTTTGGCACTCGGAATCGCATCCATCGTGCTGATGTCATGGTCAACAGACCAAAGAGAAACAAACACTTACATTACACTTTAGGTACCTGATCAGAAATCACAACTGCTACAGAAATACAGCTGTAGGAATGATACACAGGAAATAGAACAAATCTGGAGGAATCTGGTTGATGTTCTTATATAGTAAAGTACTCCTGTGGTTCAGGCTAAAGTCCCCTTTTAGAAAGCCGTAATGTACCCTTTGGATACATTTTTTTATTGCTCTTGTAACATGACATTAAATTGGGACGTTCTGAATCGGTACATGACTAAAATGGTTCTTCTAAGTCAAATTTCACCCAGCACGGTCACAATCTCTGACTCGTTTATTCCTGTATCCATTAGTCTCTTATTTCTTTACTAGTATGAGAGTTATGATCAGTGTATACTGAAAGAAAGAATTTAGAGATTCTGCTTGGGTTCACAC